AACCTCGAGCCCCAAACCCTAAAGCCCTGGGTCCTAAACTTTAAGCCCCAAAGCCCCAAGCCCTAAAGCTTTAGCCCTGAGCCCTAAACCCTTAAACCCTAAAGCACTGGTGTCTCTAGTACTTCTGTAATCTTTGGCTCTATAAAGCCCTGAGCCCTAAACTTTAAGCGCTAACGCCCCAAGCCCTAAAGCTTTAGCCCTGAGCCCTAAACCCTTAAACCCTAAAGCTCTACTGTCTTTAGTACAGCTGTAATCTTTGGCTCTATTAAAACTCATACAATCCTAGCCCCCCCTAATGTTTTTAATAGACTTTCAATTGTGGGCCCGAAACCGCGAAATTCCGGGGGCCGGTAGTTTTTACATTAGGGGGGGTTAATGTTAGGGGGAAGCGATTAGTATCCTTCCACTACCAAGGTCCATGATATCTTCTTGTAGTCCCGATGTTCCGGCCCCAACATTACAGATACAGTTTATACTTTAGCTTCACAGGCACAGATCCCGACTGCTGCGAGTCTTAGGGTTGCATTGCTAGTTTAGGGTTTACGGATGAGGGCTAGGATTGGGGGGGTCGAGGGTTCGGGTTTTGGGGTTTCGGGGTTTGGGGTGTATAGAGGGGTTTGAGGGTTTCAGCATCTTAGGTATTACAGGGTTTAGAAACCTTGCGAGGAATTGAGGATTGAGAAGTCTGCTTCCAAGCTCGCAAGTTCACCGGGTATCGGTGTGGAATTCGTATTGGTTTTCTTTGTTGTTGTTATTGTAATACAGTAGACCCCATAAAGTTGGAAACCGGATTAAGGCCAAAGAGTGCTGGGATTCCCTAAACATTACTCTTAAGGAATGAGGCTCTTGGGTTTCCCAATTTGGCGCTTCTACTGTAACTCTGGGGACTCCCAGAGCCTCCAAAACCCCTTAATTAAGGAGTATACTTGAAATTATAGTAGGATCCCTAATATGATTTAAGGTATATTCCTTAATTGAGGGGTTTTTTGGAGGCTCTGGGGACTGCTGAAATCGACACCTACCTTAAACTACCAAACCCTACTTTTTGGTAGGATCTTATTATAAACCCTAATATGGAATTTAGAGGGACCCTACAAAAAAGTAGGTTTTGGTGGGTTAAGGTAGTCACATTACCCTAAACCCTAAACCGTAACTCTGGGGACTGTTGAAATCGACACCTACCCAGGGGCCCCAAAGTAGTTCCTTTTTGGGATTACCCTGTAGGATTCTATATATGAACCCCAAAAAGGAACTACTTTGGGGCCTTTGGGTAGTCACATGGGACTCATGACCTGCTCTTCGGCTTCGTCCTCGAAAAAAAGGAAATTGATCCCAAAGACCAAAGCTTAGGGCTCCTTAGAAATAATATGTAGTTTCTAGAAATTATATGTAATTTCTAGAAATTATATGAAATTTCTGGTCATTATAATCCCTAGGAAACAGCTAGAATTTTAATTTTGCTAGGGTTCTAAGTTCATTATAGAAAGACCTTGAGGAAGTCCTAGAAACTGTCCCGGCGTAGGACCATCCCAGAGGCCTCAAGCAGGGTTGGGGTGTTGGGGTTTAGTATAGGGCGTTTAGGGTTTAGGAGTCTGTCTTAGGGTTTAGGCTTTAGGGCAGTCCTTCATTTCAGTAACACTTTCAGGTGGTGACTCTCGACATCGTGATTGAGTCTTCTGCAGCAGGGAGCCCAGACCCACAAGCAAGCTTCAAGACTCAGATCCGGGGTATAACGGTATAACTTTATGGCTTTTTGTGCTTAGAGCTTTTCGTAAGAGATCTAAGAGATCAAACTTGACTGCTTTGAGGTGTTGAGACTTTGAGGACTTGAAATTCAGAGCTTGGGTGTACGGCTGATGGTTTAAATCCTGCACTACCCGTGACAAGGAACATACCATAATTCCGATAGTTTAGGGTCCTTTAGGCAATGCCGGGTTTACATAATCAGCAGTATGAAGGTTTTCAGAGCTTGAGTTTAAGGCTGCAGTGCCCTAGGGCGTGTGGGGTCTAGGACTTTCGGCTTGTAACTTGTAGGACTTTCTACCCGTCTCCTCCCACCTTATCGGGGCGTCCGAATAGTTACGAGCCGTGCAGTCCTAGATTCCCCGTCATATTTATACTGTAACACATATTCTAACTTCTTCTAAACTGCACGGCCCCTATTCTATATGCACATACATGCAGAGTGTACTCTCTCTTTGTATACATATATATATATACACACAGACATATCTCTTATCCGAGAACCCTTCAGGTATCCTTAGAGTAACCCCTATCTCGAAAGCCTTAACGGAAGCATCTGACCTTGATCGAATTAATGTATAAGGCCCGTACATTTAGATCATAACCCTCAACCTCAAGCCATAAACCTAAACCCTCAACCCTAAACCCTAGAGCCTAAACCCTCAACCCCAAACCCCAAACCCAAAGCCCAAATCCTAAGCCCCTTTATAGAACCCCTTATAGATCCTTTATAGGAGCCCTTAAGGTAACCCTAAACTCCTACACAACCCCTACAGTAGAAGCCAGAAAGTTGGAACATCATTGTCCTCATGCCCTTAAGGTAAAGTACAAGGGATCCTAGCACTAATCCTCCTAAAGCCATGTTCCAACTTTCTGGGGTTCACTAGCTAGTAAGGGTACTGCAAAGCTTCTGTCAGGGCGCTATGAGCGGTTGAGATTCGGTCAAGGGTTGGGGGTTTGGGCTGCAGGGTTGTGCTTCTACTGTACACAACCCAGCCACCGACCAGTCGCGAGGCCTCCACCTCGATGTTCACCTTCCTGCGCATGATCCGAACCTCTGCCCTATGAGGGCTCGGGGTTCCGCAAGTTAGAGGTTTTAAGTTTGGGGTTTAGGGTTCGGTTTAGGGTTTAGGGTTTAGGGTTCCAGGTTTGGGATTCAGGGTTTAGGGTTCCAGTTTGGGGTTTTTGGCCTTGAATTTAGAATTTGGGGTCTGGGGTGTAGGGTCTCCCCCCAAACCTAGAAGCCTGGGCTCGACATGGGAGTTTCCGAAAATTAGGGGTACCTTACTTTGGGGCCCTTACAAAAGGGATCCTAGTATGTAGGGTACTATATCAGGGTGTCCCCTATGTTCGGAAACTCCCACATCCTGTCTAGGATGCAGTGGTTTAGGGCTTGGGGGTTTCGGCTTTAGGCTTTAGAGCTTCAGCGCCTCAGTAACTTGCATGTGTTGGCTTCGGCCGTTTAGGGGTTTAAGTGTTAAAGAGTGCAGGGTCCGAGAATAGTATCAAACTCGGGCTCATGTTAGCAGATGAAGAGGCCTGCAGACGGAAGATTGTCCAGATTGGGGTCCCGGTTTTGGATCGTCACTAACGGCTACCCACGTGAACGATGCTTGTCTTTCTCCCTGTACGTTTCACTCTTGGCCGGGGATGATCCGAGAAAGCCGCGTAGCATGGCCCAGGCGAACTTAGCTGTTCCATCGCCATCCCCCCCCGTCGACAGAGACCAAACATGCGTTCCTAAACCCTAAACCCTTAACCCTAATTGATCCGTGTCGGGGGTCAGCCTGGACACATCTCAGGAGCTTTACGCACCATGCATCCCCCCTACAACCCCTGACTTCATCCTTCATTTTCGAGGTACCAAGTCCCGAGGAAGCACTCCGAAGCTGAACACCTAAGTCCTGAACCCTATACTCTAACTCTGCTGTGCGACGCTGTCAATATGACAGAAGTAGTATGTATCCCTATATGGAAGTGGGCGAGTCGCAAAGTCCGTCATGCTTAAAGGAACTCGTACTGTAAACCCGAGCCCTAAAACCCTCACGCCTAGCGATGACACAAGCGACGCGGTGCAGCTTGTAAGGAGTGGGACGGCTGCTGAAGTGGAGCCCTGGATGGCAGCAGGGTCTATACTTGCAGGATCTTGAGGCTAAGCAAGCATATTTATGGACGAGGAGATGATAATTTCTTCCTTACGACATTACGAAGTCCGACGATCTTCCAAGTAGCGGGGTCGAGGTTTAAGCAGTTGCAGAGGGCAGGGTTGTCTTCTTGTTGCTTTAGTCCATGTTGGGATGTTGGGCCGTAAGCCGTACAATATCGAGACGCACGTTTGTTGGAGCAACGTGTCCTTTATGACCCGCGGGTATCCACATCGACATCTGAGTAACTAGTAATGCCCTCATGAGAAGTTCCCACAAAAACATGTTACCCTACCCCAAAATCCTATTACACATTGATTTCAAGGCCCCGACAAGATCATCATATGTAAAACTACCTTTAAAGAACCGTACCCAGTGCATTGAGGTCCTCAGCCCCATACTAGAACACCACACTCCAAGTCTCAACAGATGAGCCGTTCTCCTAGAAAGACCCGAGTGTTCCATACAATCCAATCAAGCGCGCAGCCCGAAAGATTTGTTGCCCCTCCAAAGCAACACGCAAGCTTAGGGAATGTAGGCTGCCAACTCTTCCCGGCACGAACCGATAATCCACCTTTTGACTGCCCCTAACCTGAAGGAATTCAGGCGCCCTAACCCCTTCAACCCCAAAGCCACAAGCCTAAAGCCCTTTGACTTATGTCTTAAGTCACTGAACTCACAAGGGATTTGACAGCAGCCGAGAGAATGAAGTCCCAACCCGCTCACACCTTTGACATTTCTGTGGCACGACCATCCTTGTAGTATCTCTGACGTTAACTTGATAGTTGAGTTGCTGATGTTGTTGTCAGCACAAGGGCGCCTCCGAAGTCGTATTGTGTATGAAACACTTAGCCGTTTTCTGCAGGAGTTCCATAACAGAAGGCCTCGAGAGGCCCACGTGGATGCTATTCCCATCGCAACATCCACAGTCAAGTTAGCTATCTGCCGAAGCGATATTAGCATTTCCCTTATATCCCCCATCGAAGACTACGGGCACCCTCTGTTCATAATTTAGGCCGCTGCATCATAAGGCCTGAATTGTCAGAAGGCATCGTAGAAATCCTGTGAAAACCGAAGGCCATCAACTCTAAACTCCTGCATGCCAGGAACCAGATGTTCGCCTCCATACGGGAGAACATCGACTCCCAAATGTGGATCACCCGGGTGTCGATCATGAACATCCTTTGCCAGATGCTTGCCTTCTATAGGCCCTCCCTTGAGCTACCAAAGCCGACTTTTTGGAAGGGTCCCTATAACTTCTATATTAAGGTGAGAAAGGACCTACAACAAAGTGTGCATAGGTGATGGTAGCTTAAGGTAGACCACAGACCCTAAACCTGAAATCCTAAAGCCTTCAACTCTCCTTCCAGGCTTTTTTGGGCTTGCTGGGAGCAGCTCGGTTCCCCCATAATGCCCTTGGAAGGAGTCTTCGACGACAGAACCTGCAAGACTTGAAAAACCTGTGGAATTATATAGATCTAAGGTTCAGGGTGATGGTGGGGTTAGTCAGGGTCTAGCGTAGATTTGGGGCGTTGGAACCACTTCATCAGCAGATCACGGAGACTCGCGACGCAGCTTCGCATTCCGGCCCTAAGCCCCTATAATCCCTGAACCCCTAAACCCGAAACCCCACCCTGAGGATCCTTCTGATGTACCATGTCGTGGCTTGCAGCTACTGGGGGCACCTGGTTTGCACGGACTTTGCACGGGGGGGTGCGAGGGAGATCAATCAAGAGCATCCGGGCTTTGAGGTTTGGGATGTTGGGGCTGTTAGGATTTACAGCCGCCGGGGTGGCGGGTTAACCATCGATTCTTAAGGCTTGTGTCGTTGTTTGGGTTTCCCGAAACCCTAAACCCTTAACCCGTAAACCCTAAACCCTAAACCCCCCTGTCTAATTGTCAGACTTCTGGGCAGGGCCAGAGATTCGGCTTTAAGGCCTTGGCTTAGAATTGCGACGTTGTTTCCCATGGGAGACGAGGTTGGGTTTCGTGGAGAAGAAATGGGGTTTTAGGGTTCAGGTGTTGAGTCGTTTAGGGTTTAGGGGTTTAGGGTTCAGGGGTTTAGGGTTTAGGGTTTAGAGGTTTAGGGGTTTAAGGCTTTAGGGTTTAGGGTTTGGTTTATATAGTAACTAGTCTTATATCTACTAGAGAGGAGGATTCTCATAGGCAGGGCGTTGATTGGAATTCACAAGTTGCTATGCCGTGCCAGGGACTGCTGGGGAGCATATCTATGTGAATTTGGATCCCAAGGGTATGTAGAATAATCGCCTTTCAAGGTGTTGGGCAAATTGTCTGCTTCTTTGGCTGTTTAAAGTTAAACCCTAAGCCCTAAACCCTTTAGGTAGAGCTTGAGATGTCAACTTCAATGCAGGCCCCTTGCGCTAGGGCTCCCAACCTTACAAGATTCATTCTCAGCATCATCAAATGTATCCCTAAAACCCTAAACCCCTACACCCCGAAACCCTAAACCCCACTAGTCTTACACCAAATCCTAACTTCGAGAGCCTTTTTCGTCGAGGAGTTGACCCAGTGTTCTTGAATTCTATCTCTTGCGGTTGATGATATGAAGCCTGCAATACCCATGATAAGGAATATGCACCATTATTCCCATAGTTTAGGGTCCTTAAAGCAATGCGGGATTTACATCATCAGCCGCATCTTCTAGTACCGCTTGGGGTTTCGAGTTCTGAGTTTGGGGTCCGGGGCCTAAGGTTCAGGGCAGCGCTAAACCCTAAACCCCAAACCCTAAACCCTTATCTCAGTAGCTGGCCAGGGACCCGCCAAGACTCTTTAATAGAGCCCGAATGGCCCTTAATAGTGGGTATTTGGGGTATATCAGAGGGTAGTTGGGGGGTCTAGGCGAGTCGGTAACCTTTAGCCTTTGGGGGTTTATATAGTCCTACCATACTCGAAAAGGTTATATAACCTTTTTTTGGGGGAGAGGAATTTCAGCCCCTCAGTTACCGTGGCCCTTCAAGGGTTACCAAGGTTGAGGCTTGGGGTGTGAATCCCGCAAAAGCCTGAAGCCTGAATCCTCCTGTGAAAGGTTTAGGGCTTGTAGGGTTAGGGTTGAGGGTTTGGGATTTAGGGTTTATACTGTTCAGGGTTTGCCCGAAGCACGACGAGATACCTAACCCTTCGGCCCCAGAACGCCAACATGAGCCAATTGCACGCCTGTCAAAGGTTTGTATCGTAGTAACCAAAGAAGACCCCATAAAGCCATCAAGAACCCTCAAAGACATCCCTTGAACATTCCCTCTTCTATCCGACACACCGCAACTTTCTGGACCCAGACTCATACCCACACGTGATGAATGTGCACTCTTAAAGCGTCTCATGTAAAGATCTGTCTCATGTTTCAGGTATACTCTTTCCTGCCATCTGTCTACAATGATTTGATATGGAGATGTTTGCTTGACTGCCAAGGCTTGGACGAATTAACGTGGACTCTGCCAACTGGATCACGGAGTATAGCCGGGTTCCCAAGTCCTCAGGTGTAACATTCCTCACTTGATGGCCAAGCCCTGAAGCCCAAAACCCGAATGCAAAGGATTCAGAGAATGCTTATGCCCCACTGGATTTCCCTGAACCCCCTCCTTAACCCTGAAGAACCTACCTTTTTAGCAACTTTTGTCAGGAAGCCATAAAAATAAGGACCCCTAAACAGGGAGCTTTTTCAGGGTTCAGGTATAGACCCTGAGGTTGAAGCCCTGGTGGGCGGACCAGGACAGGTTTCTAGCTCCTTGAGAGATGTCCCACCACCGAGTCGACGCTACACCCTAAGCACCTCAAGGAGCAGTTCGTGATGACGAGAGTGACGATCATGACGATGCTGCTGCTGATGATGATGGTGATGATAGTGATGAGGAAGGAAGAGGACCAGGAGAAGGACTATCATGGTTGTAGGAACTGTTAGAATGTTGGCTTCTCTTTGGAATGTGCGGCTACGGTTTCAGTTGGGCAATAGGTTCACTAAACACCTGAGACAGTTGGAGTATGGCCTGGAGGCAAAACCTTTTTCCCACAACCTTAAACCCTAAGACCCTTGGCCCGAAGACCTGATAACGTTAAACCCTAAAACACCCTATAGTAAAAGCCAGAAAGTTGGAATATGATTATCCTAAACCCTTTATGGTAAATTATAGGGTATCCTACCCTGAAACCATATTCCAACTTTCTGGAGTTCCCTTTAAACATTGAAAACCCTAAACCCCAACAAACTTAAGCCCTCTGTCCAAGGCCTTGAGAATCGGACGTTCGGCTACCAGTACACCACCACACTGCACTGGGCAGTGTGCCAGCTAGGCAGATTTCGTGTAGGGTTCTGGGTTTAGGGTTTTTGTTTAGGGTGTGTTTAGGGTTTGTTTGTAGGGTTTAGGGGGTTCCGTGTTCTAGATGGTTTGCAGGGTGGGCCGGCCAGGAGTCGGTTTCAGGGCTTAGGGCTCAGCGCTTGAGCAGTCAAGAGTTTAGGGCTATGTTTGAGCTTCAGTAGGGTTTGGGCTCGGAATGCTTAGAATCTAGAGTTTGAGGTAAGCCGGAGCTGGGTTGTGGTTTTGATCTCTGCTGACCTTTCTCGAATGGTCATTTATGCCCATCAAGAGTGCGAGAAGGAAGCCCCTTTACCTAATTAAGGTCCTGAACACCCCATGTAACAGAGGGGTCGGGATGATGCGATTCGAGATTCAGGGCTCCTTAGTATATGTTTATAGCAGACTATGCGCCAAAACCTTGTTCTAGGTATCCAAGCACCTGGCACGAACACACGTGCCAATGTCGATCTGCAAAGCACTGCGTCTGGCACAAGTCTTCCGCAGACAGCATCGGAAAGCGTTTCTGCATGGCATAACCATAGTACCCTTATCGTAAAACCTGAACCCCCTAGTGTCTACGTCTTATTATGTAACATTTACGGTACCCCTAACAGTAACCTCAATATCAACTGCTACTGCCATGTCTTAGGCTTGCTGCATTATTAGAGTATAAATGTACACCCAAGCCCTGTCTCATCATTCACGCGCCTAGAGTCTGGTAAGCTACTTGAGTTTCAGGCTGAGTTGGTCCAGCGAAACTTTACCGCACGCCCTAGTTTCAGTTTAGCCCACGTGCCCTAGACTTCCAACTCTCAAAGCAATGAAGCCGCGCAAAACCCCGGCATCCCAAACCTTTAAGTTTGAACCCTCAACCCTTAACCTAGGCTGCCCAGAAGTACCCTTATTCTCTTGTTGTAGTCCAAGGTTCCTTATAAAGTCTCCCAATACCAAGGTTACGGGGCATCCTAGCATAGCATGATGATATAAGCCCCAAAACCCTTAAACCCTAAACCCCTAAACCCTGAACCCTAAAACTCAAAAAGGGAGCCCTTTTTTTATTCCTAGGTTACGGGGCATCCTAGTAACCGTGTTGCCAAGCGAGGCCTGGGCTCCAACATCATTGAAGCCACAAACTTCGCGGAGCCTTGAGAAGCGTGTTTAGGGTTTAGGGTTAGCTTGAAATCCCAGTGCCTAGACCCCCCCAATCTAGGTGAAACAATGGCCCAAAACCTATAAAAGGCTATTATTCTACATACTTTTGGAGTCGAGGTACCTACTTTCTTTGCAGGGTCCGCATGGGTTCTACGTTCGGGTTCGCAATAAGAACGCTTAAGAACCTTGGTTATGGTAGTTGAAGGTAGGTTCTTGATACGGCGTAGGAGTTTACGGTGCGGGTCTTTGGGGTGTGAGGTTAGGGTTTAAGGATTCGAAGCTTAAGGTTCAGGCTTGATGGGTTTTTAGGGTTTAGCTTTTAATGGTTTAGGGGTTACGGGTTCCAGGGCAGCTTGCGAAGAGATCCGAGCAGAAATCTGTTTTGTAGAGTCCCCTCCCTCTGCAGTTGAAGATTTACGAACAACCTCCATGTAAAGAAGTGTAGCCTGACTATGTAACTTCTGAAGCCTTAAGTACGCCATCGACTTTGGCTCAAGATGAAAAAGGCGCCGCTGAGCTGTGCCTTCACGTTCAGGGCAGGGTCCTTCTTTTGGGGTTTCCCTTCCCTTCCTCTCCTTTCTTACCCTAACATAGCGTTGTCTCTGTTTGGGGTCAGAATAACTGGTTATCAGCCGTAGTGTTCGTTCTTCCCTTTTGGTTTGGTGAAGTCCTTTAGAGCGTAAGTCTCTCCATGGATGCACCGGACCCAGATCGTGGCCCAGAGATCCTTCCGAGGCCACGTGGGATCCGAGCTGGGAAAAGTGCGGTACGTAAACGTAAAGCGTACCAGCAGTACCAGCTGAATCTTCAACCGTTCCGATATACTTCCTTAGACGACGTACCAGTCCGTCACTCCGACGGCAGTCAGCGGCCGCTTTATTCGAAGCCGGGTTGGCGACCCATCTTTGAATCCGACAGCGAGCCCGAGGAAGAATTGGTTGAGGTTGAAATAGAAGCAGAGGAGCCGCCACTCATTCCAAAGGCGTCAGGGGCAGTGCCGGGATATCATAGGATTCGCACGCCACCTGCTCCTCCTGCGCCGCCTGTGCGGCCGTCGTCTTCGTCGTCGGCGAGCGCAGTGGCTATAGCACCTTCTCAGGGTCCGTCGGCGAAAGTATCATCTTCAGCGCCTTCTGTTACAGCTTCAGTTTCTGGACAACGGTTGGCCCCTACGCCGAAGGTGAGGATTGCTCCCGCAGCGAAGACTGCGGCGGTGCCTAAGGTGTCTGTTCCGACTCCGCCGGCGTATCCTCCTGATCCTAAGATTACTGCTCCGAAGACTCCTCCCAAGAATCCACCGAAGCCTCCAGCGTCAAGGCAGAGCCAGGAGAGTCAGGCTGCAGTGATCCCGAAGGTGCCGCCGAAGTCAGCCCTCACTTCAGATCCTATTGTTGACCTACCGAGGAGCGTCTTGTTGTATTCACCAGACACTTTTAGCAGGTGCAACTTCAGAGTCGAAGATAGCCAGCGGCTTGAGGGCAAGGTCGTCGTATTTGATTTTCACAACGTGATTGACCGATATTATTGGGCACCTCGCGTTGGACAGCGGAAGCAGCAGTATAAGATTCCTTACCCGAACGAGGCACCGGAGTTGCTCTCGGACGTTCAGGGTCTTCTTAGGCGTGTCCACAGAGCTGCAGAGGAGGCGGGAGCATTGGTGGTGATTTGCTCCCACATTGGTGAGGGATCCAGGAGCATCGAGGATTGGGCCTTGGACACCCTTCGAAACACCTTTATACAATCTGTTGGTCAACGCCAAGCCGATTTAGTCATCATCACTCGATCCCGCACAGGACGCCTCGGAAAGCTTGACATCTGTCGACGCCTTTTCCAGCAGCCATCGTTGTTGATAATAGACGATAACACGGGGATCTGTGAGGAGTGGAACAGATCGGCTAACGCTGCTGCGTTTCACATCCAATTGCCTCGGCGGGATCTGCCGTCAATTGGTCGTTCCTTTTCCTCGATTTTCGAGGCGGAACCTTCCATTTTGAATTGGATCTCTGGCTGAAGTGCTCAGCGTGTGCATTCGGACTTGGTGTGAAAGGCTGCCTTGCGCCACCACCTTGTCTTCGGCAGTTTGGTTTAGGGTTACTTTCAGGCTTCAGGGTACTTCTGTGTGGTCTGTTAGGCGCATTGCGCCACTGACCGGGGGTATCTGTGTGGTCTGATCGGCGCATCGCGCCACTGACCTGCCTTCCTGCTAGCGCACATCTGTCATCATGTCACAATCTCAATCAACCCCAACTGATCCAAGCTCATTGCTTGACATCTCCAGTGCCTCAGCAGCCGCGGTTCCGGGTATGAGGGATTCCTCTTGTGCTTCGGGTGGTTCAGAGAGTAGTTCAGCCTTGGTTGAACGCGAACGCTCACCTCCTGCCAACCGAAGAGCCTTAGCTCGGACTCCCAGGAAAGCTTCAGCCCCGTACCCAGCTGTCAATGCCCCTCTCGACGAGTCTGGTATTCCTACTGTTGTTCATAACCAGATGCTCAACATAGGAGCCACGCCTCAGCAAGTCCTTGCTGCTCAGCAATTTGCTGCTGGTGAAGCTGCCAATCGAGTCGCCGCTCAGGCGGAGCTGCTACACCAGGCTTCTATCAGTGAGGTACAAGGCCAAGTCAGGGACGTGTTGACCGAAGCACGGTCTGCTGTTGATCAGCTTCGGGAACAGCTTAGGCGTTCGGAGATTCGATGCGGGGAATTGTTTGAGTACGGTCAATATGTTGAACGTCAGCTCGCAGAGGCAAAGGCGGAGTTGAATATGTTGAATTTTCAGCTAAATCAAGTCCGGGTAGAGTGCCAGTTTAAAGGAGAGAGAGATTCAGATGCTTCGGTCGGCTGCTCCATGCGCCTCGACCTCCGGATCTCCTCCTAAGCCACCGAAACCCCATGCTCCGCTAGGCGGTTCCGGGTCTGGTGCTAGTGAAGCGTCATGGACTCACCTTGAAGCTTCCGATCCTCCCACTCAGCATCTGCTGTACTCGGGTACCTTTGTTCCTCCGCCCGCACCTTCATGTCCTGCTCCTCCTCAACCCACGTCTCCTGTTTCAGACCCTCGCGTGGACCAGCTGATTGAGGTAGTCCAACAGTTAGTCCAACAGGTCGGTCAAAATGCTACGGGTATTGTTGAGACCAATGAAGATGATGAAATTGAGGATCAAGAAGCTGCCAAAGAGCTTCGGGAAAAGGACATTGTTGATCAAAGGGCTCTCTTACATCTCAAGCTTGAACCTGTCCCTTCAGATGCGGCAAGCTTCAGAACTTGGAAGAATGGTTTCAAGGTTCAGTTGTCCAAGCTTGATACTTCGGGTCAAGGTCTTGTGTTGGCTTGGATTTCCAGAGGCTTTGATGCTGAGAGAGCTGATTTGCAAGATTCGGAGCTTCTTCCTCGTCTCGATGCATGGATAGCTGGTGAGCTGTCATCAGGGCGTGTGTTGAAGCAGTCCTCTGAACTTGAGCAAGATATCACTGCTTACATTGAAAGGTGTAGTCAACTGAACCAATGATCCCAAAGGTCGAGTGATGTTGTCTATCATCGCAAGACATTACGACCTCGATCGGGTAAGAGGTTCTGTTCTGACTGCATCAACCTTGTTTCAGATCGAACTTGGTGGAAGTTCCATAAAGGACTTGAGAGACTTTGTGAATCGTATTCGCCTCGTCCTCAGTGCAATTCCGGTCGGGCAACGGCCTGATGATCGCCTCACCGGTGAATGGCTCTTCCATCGAGTGAAACACATTCGCAAGCTTGAGCGCGTTATTGAGGACATCAGGGAATCTGGGGCATCTTCGTATAGGCGTGAGTGGTCTTACTTGTGGGATAAGATTCAGGATCTGATCGTGCAGGACCGTGAGGACTCCAACGCGCAGTCTGTGCTGAAGTCTCTGCAATCTGCCACACCCGCTCCGAAAACGAAGGCTGTTCCTGCTGTAGATGGAGGAAATGGTAAGTTTAAAGCTTCCCCACCTGCTGCACCTCCGAAAGGTGCTCCGCCCAAGGCAGATCCTCCTCCTCCACCGATTGCTCCTGGCGCCCCAGCGCCCAATGCAAACGCGAAAGCCAAATCAAAGGCTAAGGCTAAGGCGAAAGCCATGACTGATGCTGAGAAAGCCAAGACGCCTTGCATTTTCTTCCAGATGCCGTCCGGTTGCATTCATGGAGATAATTGTAAGTTTAGTCACAAGGCTGCTCCGCCGAAGTCGAAAGCCAAAGCGAAAGATGGAGCCAAGAGCAAACCTGGAGCAGTAGCCAAAGCTGTCGTCGCGCTTGTTGCTGCTTCTAGCTTGTGTACTCCTGTTATCTCTGCTGGTCCATCCTATGCTGTTGAATGGGCCGCTGACACTGCTGCTGGTCGTCACTTAGGTTCGGCCAAAGCCTTGTTTGACCAAGGGATTCCGCGTGACGCCTATGATCGGTTCTTAGGTGCGTCTAAGTCTCCCGTGACGTTTCATACCGGCGGTGGTCCCCAACCTGGTGTGCAGACCCTTGGCTTCGAGTCTGACAACATGGATTTTGCTAATCATTACATGTTAGACAGTTGCCCTTTGGTCAGAAGCACAGGGATTGATGTTGATTCTGGGAAGGCCTTCATCTGGCTGCCCGGTAGTTTGCCCTTCTTCGTCAGTGACGTTTCGCAACTCGTTGTTCAATGTCCTGAGAAGTACAGACATTATGCAACTCGCGTTGAAGAGCATGTTCCTATTTTTACCAGTCAGGTGAGGTTTACTCATGGGGCACCAAACCCTGTAAGTGACCTTTCAGGGGGGCTCGAGAGCGTGGGTCCGGCTGCTATCCCAAGCGCCATCCAAAGCTCAGAGCACCATCCTGCTGAAGTACGAGCCCGACAAATGTTGAGCTCTGGCGGCAACATCAGCTGTCGTGCGGTTCGCAATTTGTTCGGTTTGGTTGACAAGGAACCTGCTGCTAGAGGTGATCACGGGGAATCGTTCTCAACTGGACTTTATCGGTTGGGCGGGAATCTTGGAC